ATTATAAAAAGTCAAGGAACAATGAAATTTAGATTTAACGTGCCTTTTTATATATTTTTTTCATTAGTCAATAAAAATATGATTATGTACGTGTTTTTCATAACATAATATATACGCTCATAATTTTTTATTGATTTTGGTACTAAATTCAACATAAGTAAAAAATATATATTTTATATTTAAATTAAATAATAATTCTACAAATAACTTAAATTAGGTTAAATATAACTTAGTTTCTTCTTAGCAATAGACCAAGGTCCTTCCTTCTAATATCCTGTTTGCTTCAACATGTATATTAAAATGATTGAAATTAATATTGTATTACACATTAAAATTATTAATATTAAATAAGTTACGAATAGTGGGGGATCTTCTTGAGAGTCGAAGGGGCTAAAGTTTTTTAATTTTGATGTAATTTATAATTTTGACTCCCAAATTTAATGATCATTTAATATATTTACTTGTATATTTATAATTTTATCCTCTCATCACTGCTAACTCTTATATAATTTATGATTTTATCCCATCAAACTTAATGATCATTTTATATATTTATTTATACATTTACAATTTTATCATCTCACACTTTCATCTTCTTTCACCCTTTTATATTTATTTATTATTTATTAATAATATATTATTTAGTCCCCTCAAAATTAATGGTCAAGATCCGTCATTGGTTGAGTGTAATATATTTCTAATGGTCAAAGTGTCAATTCTCTTATGCAATGAATACAAAAGAACCGCTTAGGCATGACAACAGGGCGGGCGGGTTTTACCTCCCGATACCCGCTCCCGACTTTTTTAACCATCTCCGTCTCCGTCCCCAATCCCGTCGGGTTAAAAATTAAGTCCACATTCCCGTCCCCGCTAGGTTTCGGGTTCCCTACCCCGTCCCGTCCCGTCCCCAACCTATGTTATTTTTAAAAAGATAATTACATTTATAATAAATTAATTTTATTATGTATTTTGTATATATAAATAAATATTTATAATTTTATCATTTATAATTATTATTAATTAAATATACATTTTAATTTATTATATTTATATTAAAATATGTATGTAAAAAAATATTTATTTATTTTTTATTTATATAGAGAGAGAGAATATTTATAGCATTATTATTATTATTATTATTATTATTATTATTATTATATTCAAATATTTGAATACTTATAACATTATTATTATTATAATACTGTATTCAAACATTTAATTATATATATAAGTTAATTCATTTTTAAGTTGTCATTTAAAAATATGAAATATATAGTTTATAAGAAAATATTTAATAAGTTAATTCTTATTTAATTAGTTCAAAGTAATAAAAGTTTAAATTATCAATTTCTTTTAATTCTTTAAAATACAATTATTTTATTAAGATAAAATTTGATATATGATAAATAAGAATAATAAGATAAAAAAAATATGACATAATAAAACCTAATAAATATAAATTATAAATAAAATAATATTAATTACTATTATGATTTATGTAAAATATTTAGAAAAAGATAAAGAAGAAAAAAAATTACTTTGTGTTCATCAAATTGATTGAAAAGATAAAAAAAAATTGATAGGAGAAATTAAGAAAATGTAAAAAACAGAAAGGTAAGAGAGAATAATGTAATAAATTAATTGATATAAAATATTAAAAAAGACAAAAAAATTAAAGGTGGGTAGAAGAAAAATAAAAATTGGTGAAATATTAAAAAAATAACTTTATATGTAATAGAAAAAGAAAAAAATACATTTAAAGTATTAATATTTTAAATTTTAAATTTAAATATAAAGTCGGAACAGAGACAGGGTCGGGTCGGGGTGGGGATTGCATTATCCATCCCCGCCCCGCCCCGACTTTTAAAGCGGGAAAAATATGAACCCGCTCCAGTCCCCTGTCAACTCGGATTTTCCCGTCAAACTCGGAGCGGGGATGGGTCGGTCCCACGGTACGAGTTTAATTGTCATCCCTAGAACCACTAGAGATTATCAATAAATGATTACTAAGAGCTTAGAATGAACCCTACATATTGTAATATAAATAAGTTTTAAATTTTAATATGGTGGAAAAAAAATTTGTATACTTAAAAATACAAATAAGGTATTAAGTACACTTTTGTTTACCTATATTTTAAAATATTTTTATCAAAATGTTTGCAACTTATTAGTTTTATTTCTTACGCTTTAAATTATAACACAATCAACAAATTCATAAATATAAAATTCTTTTTCTCTATAAAATGGTGATGTAAATACTTTGAAAACATTAAAATATAAAATGTAAATTAAAAGTTAACAAGAATATATTTATAATAATCAAAGATGCAATACTAATACAAAAAGTAGATCAATAATAAGCACATCAAATTCAACTTTTGACATAGAAATGGATGAAATTAATATTTTCTACTACTTCAGGAGACATATCTATCTGAATAGGTTGCCTCCCTATAGTCACTACAATTGCACTATATCGTTGGAGAGGAAATAGTTATGGTTCTAAAATCCTACTAACTTTCTTTTCTTTTCTAGAATCATCCTATTTAGCAATATATATAATTAACTAATTTAATCATGTAAAAATATAAATACATAATTAAAGCATGTAAATTTATCTTGACTCTTGGCTATAGTTGACTTTGCTAACCTAATTTACCAAAGGACATTTTTTCTAAGGCTTGTCCAATTGGTAGAACTACTTAGGGTATCTCTAAAGGGAGTTTTTAACTAGAGTTGCTTAAGAATAAAATTAAATATTTTATTATAGGTCTTATAGTTGAGTTACTTAAAACATGTTCAGAGTTGTTTATCCAAGCAACTTTCTTCTAATTTTAAGCAACTTTCTTCACTTTTAAGTAACTCAGATGTGAGACTCACAATAAAATATTCACTTTTATTCTTAAGCAACTCTTGGTAGCAACTCTCATTGGATATGCTCTTAGTGAACAAAAGGACTCGAGCAACAACATCTTGAACATTTGTAACTACTATTTGTATCATATTCTCTTGTATCGTTGGTAGTTGACCACAACGTATAAATATTACTAAAAGAGACTACACTAGGATTTAGTAATTTAAATTCTATTCATCTCGTATTAACCTTCTGTGAAATAAGTGATGTTTATGTGCTTTGATCCACTCAGTGATCTTACAACATAAACATCTAAATATACATATTAAATAAAACATCTCCAATGTAATTAGTACGTAAACATCAAATACTTATAATTTGCTCAACTATGGTTTGAGCTTCTTTAGATGTGTAATCACCTGACTTTTTTTTTTTCTTTGCGACTCTCTCCTATTTGTCATAGCGAGGAGGTGAAGATATAATACTCACATATGACTAGTCAATAATGTTAAAGGAAGATGTCTCTTTTATCATGATCTAGTTTAGTCTATCATAACCCCCATGGACTCTTTCACTTTAGAGTTTTGGAAAACTTTTCTTCTTGCTTATTATACATGTTACACATAAAAATTACTATTAGAAAAATCACTTTAAAAATAATAAAAATAAATTATCACAAGTTATAATTCAATTTATCTAAAAGACAAGGTTTAATCATCTCTCTTGGAAAGTTTGTCACATGTCTTCATTTAGAAATTGGTACCACTCACATGAAATTTTGTTGTCGAGTTCTATATATATATATATATATATATATATATATATATATATATATATATATATATATATATATATATATATAACTAGTTGTAAGGTTGTTGCATCTTTGACTCTTATACCACTTGTTGGGTCTTTCGAGGGGAGATTCACAAGAGAGAAACATATAAATAAGACATGAGTTCAACCCACATAAGGATTGACACCACTCTCAACCCAAAATCTTAAGGCATTGGGTTATAGGTTCTAGTTCTTTATATGTTACTTAACTTTCTCATTCTTATTTAATGTGAGACTTAACTCACACTTTGATTACCTGACAAAGGTCACTCTTAAAACCCCTTCATCATTGACCAACATAGAAAATCCATTTTATCCTCGAAACATTATTGTTGGGGACGTCATATGTGAGTTATATAAAGAAGGTAATGAATTATATGTGATTTTTTTTTATTAGCATGTTTACAAATAAGTATGAGTTTTATACTGTGATAGTTTGTCATATTAGGTTCTTCATTATCTTTGGAACATGGTCTCAATATCAGTCAAAGTATTCACCTTGTTTCTATCAAGCAAGGTCACATAGCTAATGAATTTTGTGTTATTCTCTTTCAAAGTATTGTTCATTTGCACATCAAATTGGATGAACAACCTTTCATCAACACTACTACTAACAATCAACTCCCTTAACTTAGCTCTCCCGCCTTATGTAAAGTGGGGGGGGGGGGAGTAAGAAGATTAAATATACTAAATAAAAAAAATCAAACAACCAACATATACAAATAGATAATACAACTACTCTATGGAATGAGATATAAATGAAACATTTAAATTGTCAAGGGAAATGTTCTCCTATAGCCTTTCATGATGGTCATCACACGTGACATATACACATATTGATATCTATGATTGACACATTTGTCGTGGAAGATAAAGTCATTATTAAATGTCTTCTACTACACCAAAGTAGTACAATGATACCATAATATGATATTTATACTTTGAACTAAATAATACGTCTCTTCTGGGAAATTATTTCTACTACTATTATTAACAATAATAAGATATGTTATATTAACTTATATAAAAAAAGAAGCAGAAAAGTTCAAGAATACTAATGCATGTGGAGGCATTTACTCTCCAAGAATAATGATTTGCATGCTTCAATCCAAAATATTATAAACTCAATTCACTATTTGTATTTCATTGTTTGTTATCAAATGCTTTGGTGGTGTAGTTTTTGACAAATTATTTTATTTATTATGTTTAACACCATTTACTTCTTTTTCTTCTTTCTCCATTTATCTTCACTTTCCCTTCTTTTTTTAATTATAGCTCACTTTTTATGTTTTTTCTACTAGTTTTATAGTCTAATATACAAATTGACGACAAAAATGATGAGAATGATAAATTATGGACAACGAATTGTGTTAATAGAGATGTGAATGACCAATTCATAGAAGAGAACGGTAAGACCAGGAACAATACTAAGACAATGCATAAAAGTTGGAGAAGAGATGTGGTTGGTGAATGATGTTACTTGGAGAAATTGTGTAGCATTTTTTATAATTTTCTAGTTTTGTGAATAATTGGTTCAAAGTTTTCACCATATTATAAGTTCCTTTATTTGTTGGTTTAATGTATTTGAATTTTATTTTTGTTCCAACAAAAAGTCCTAATTTTTCTTTTGTACACCTCAATCATGACACTTAATCCTCTTGATGACAGTGAGACTTATTTTCTAGCCTCCTAATTGGTTAATGTTGGATTTCTTTTTTTAGTTAGTGACTGAATTCATTCCCTAATCTTTATATCTAACTAGTAAGATTTTATTTTATTTTTCAATGATTTTTAATATAATTTGTGTGATGTATTTCGAGAGTGTTATGATCTGATACATCTACTAAGAATACAATAGATTAAAATTTTTAAGTAAATAATACCTTAAATATAATTATTAATTATATTGATATTATCATAATAAATTTTAAATTAATATTTTTAGAGATATATATATATATTAAAATATATTAGATAAAACTTATAAATATTATTACATATATAATCATAATATTTAAAAAAATTATAATAATAATAAAAAAAACTAAATCTGATAACACAATACCTTATTCAACTTATCAATGTGTACATATTTCTTTATATAGCAACAAGTTCAACATTTTGCATATAATTAATATTTTAGATAATAAACACTTGAAAACAATCAGTTTGATATATAAAAACAATATATGGAATAACTAATATAAAATTAATTTATGGAATGTAATAACATAACTCATCTTTGAGTAATTTGCTACAATATAAGGAAATAAAAATGAGAAAACTATGTATTTTTAGTCACTGAAAAATAATATAAAAAAAATTCAATTAAAATTCCAAAATTTATGAGTAACATATAAGAAAAGGAAAATAAAAGATAGGCCAGAAAAATTTATGCAAGATATTGAAAAGTAATATATTTTACAAGTTATCTATATATCTTAAAATCTGTCGGTGAAAATTGCATTTCTTTTAAGAATAGTGCATGTGGGCATTTGGATTCTCAAAAGTAGAACTTTAGAGGAAAACAAAAAAATCACTATAATATAAAAAGACTTATCACTTTGCAACATGAACTCCCTATCGATAATATCGGTTTCTTGGCTTTTTAGTCAATCACTTTTCTTCTCTGGGTTTCACTGCAGAGAACAACAATAATTAATTATTTATATGAATAATTAAAGTATTTGTTAGATTGTTATTTGTATCAAAAGCTTATTATCTGGACCTGTTCTAAATTTTTTTTGAAGAAATAAAAATATACTATTATCTTAAAAAAAATAAAAAAGATAACAGTATTGTAATAATGTAATAGTGCACCATTTAAAATAGTAGAAAATTATATTATAAAAGGGAAAATAAATATAATAAAAAGTTAGATATAACATGGTATTGTAATAATGAAAAATATATATTAACAAACAATTATATTATTCAAATTGTGTAGGATAACAAACATTATTTATCTTTTAACAAGAGCCTAATTGTATATAATACATATTTAAAATATCATAAAATATTGAAAATTATTTCAAATTATAATGTATAAACAATAAAATCTTCAAAAAAAAATAATACTAATAAATATAAAAAGTAGCAATACTACAATCTTACTTAAGCAATAATTCAATATTATAAAATCTAAAAATAGAAAAAAAAATAAACCTAATGAAGAGTATTATAAAAATAGATAAAAATAATGCAATTTTAATATAATATTATATATATATATATATATATATATATATATATATATATTACAATATTCAAAGAGAAGTAAAGTAAAAATGACATATAATATTGATGAAATATAAAAATAAAATAATAATAAACTAATGCTATAATAATAATAGAAACATTTTAATTCTTTACTGTACTAAAATGTATTTCCTAAAATATAAAAAATACCATACTAAAATTTTTAAATGATTGTGGGACATTATATTTTGAACATCAAGTTCAATACAAACACTTTAAACCTCTTCTAGGTAATATGGCAAAATTTGTCAAACAATTAATAAAAAACACGTTAAAAAGCAAAGCAAATGATTTGATATAAGATTAACAATTTAGTAGTTGCATACTTTTTCTTTTCCTAACAAATATATATATATATATATATATATATATATATATATATATATATATATATATATATATATATATATATATATATGAAAGAAATAAAGAAAAAGGAAGCTTCGTGGAAGTTGCACTACTGCTGTGCTGACAACCCTAATTGTTTATGTGATTATTATTTATAACACTTTTCAATTGTTTAGTAACATGTTAGCATTACACACACTCCTATTGACACTCGTTCAGGGTGCCACATTGTCATTACATAGTATTTTATTTCTTCCTTCAACCTTTTTGTCATTTAGTAGTACACAGTTCAATTCTAGAAAATGGAGGTGGTGGAAAATGGTGGTGTTAATCTAAAGGGGTTGAGCAAGGAGATGAGACATGGCAGAACAGCCCATAACATGTCGTCTTCTTCGTTGCGCAAGAAATCTGACCTAGCTCTTGTGTCTAAGGTTCGTTCTGGTCCTCTCAAAAACGTGTTGCTGAACATTCAAGAGGTTATTTTGGGAACCAAGCTCTCTATTCTCTTCCCAGCCATTCCTCTTGCCATAGTTGCTAAATGCTATGGATTTGCAAGAGTGAGTTCTCTTCTTGTTTCTCTCTACTCGTACCATAATTTTTTCTTTTTACTTTAGAATTATCTTGAACTAACGTGATTATCTTGTTTCTCTTTTGAATTCATACCTCTTCCTCATGGTGAGTATGGTTGAAAAGAAGATGAATGGAAATTAACATTGATTATTTCTACTCGCATTTTTTTAATCAAATAAATTTAGAATGAGAATAAATTATTTTATATTCTTTCGTCAATTTCATATGAAGTAGATAAGTTTTATGAATAAATTAAAAGGGTTGATATAGAGTGACCAACCACACTAGATATGTAATCATCTAGAATCCTACAATAATTATTACCTGACTGGTAAAGGAGAATGTATAGATTTTATTTTTTATTAAAGCAAGTTTAAATTTTTATATTTTGAATTTTTTTTTTTTCTAACACTCGTCTTCTTTATTTAATGTTTTTTCTTTGTCATCCCTAACCAAATATACGAAAAGTTAACATCTTGAATGACATACTGAGTTAAGGATGTTTTTGATAAAAGTCAAGTCTTTATTTTTATTTTTTTTCATTTTCAAAAAACTTTGTCTTATTTGTATATTTTTCTTACACTCATCTTTCTTTATTTCTTTATATTTTCTTGTTTTGTATGACATTTTTTTTAATAAATTTGAGTAAGGAAGCAATTTATGTGTATCTTTTTGGATCTACGGTTTATCCCAGATACCCTTACTAAAGATAGAAAATGACGGTTTTCCTTGTAGTTTAGTTTGTTCATTAAACTTTTTTGGTACCACTTTTAATAATGAATCTTGTAATTATGTATGGTGAGGTCATCAACGAAAAAAATACTTTTTCTTTGTTTGGAAGGAGAAAAATAATTAAAGAATTTAAGCATCTATGTGGTGATGAGATAAGGACAAATACATACAAGTTTTTGACGAAGTACTGAAACAAATATCTTCTGTTACGTACAGCCTTGGGTTTTTGCGTTGAGCTTACTGGGACTTACCCCTCTTGCTGAAAGACTCAGTTTTTTGACAGAGTAAGGAAAACCATGGCATGATTGTTGTATTCCTCTTGTTTACAAAATTGTATTCTCCATCATTCATCATTGATCATCATGCAACTTTTTTTCACCCTTGTATGTTTGTTTGCTGATTTCCTTTCAATTCCTTTCTTTTTGGTACTTCAAATTTGGCAGACAGATTGCTTGTTACACTGGTCCCACAGGTATGTCTGAATATCAACATCTGTATGTACCACTGAAACGTGTTATTTTTGAAGTTTTTCAGTGTCAGTGTACTTTACTAGTCAGTTTTCTTTAATTTGGAGTAAATATGAATACCACCACTTTATCATCTTAAAAAGAATATAATGCTTCGTCATTTTTGGCTCATAATTTATTGATCTTTTCAAGAGGTGTTTACCAATATTTTTCTAATAAGAAATAAAACTTTTATAGAATTTCAGAGTACTAATTGAGTGTCTCATGATACTTCAGCCTTTTTATTTTTTTCTTTTTCTGATAAACAGTGGGAGGACTTTTGAATGCAACATGTGGGAATGCTACAGAGCTCATCGTAGCAATTTTTGCCCTTAGCCAAAACAACATTGCTTTGGTCAAATATTCTCTCCTGGGTTCTGTAATTTCCAACCTTCTTCTGGTTCTTGGAACCTCTCTACTCTGTGGTGGCCTTGTAAACCTCAGACAGGAGCAGAAATATGATAGAGTAAGGCCCTTCAATCCATTCAAAACTTTACCTATGAATTGCATAGTTTTGGTTCTTATTCTTCTTTTAAGGTGAAATAATAATGACTAGTGCTAATTACGGGGTTGAATGATTTGCAATGTTTCTTTCAGAGACAGGCAGATATGAATTTGCTTATGCTGTTTTTGGCATTGCTGTGCCACTTGCTGCCAATGCTGTTCCATTACAGTGGTGTCGCGGAAGGTGTCACTACAGAGTCTTCTCTGCAGTTTTCAAGAGCTGCTAGCGTTGTCATGGTGATAGCATATGTTGCCTACCTTGTGTTCCAACTGCGGACTCATAGGCAACTATTTGAAGCCCCTGATGTAAGCTTTCTTTGATTTTGAAATGATGAGGCTAATTTTTATTCTTGCTCATGTCAATAAGTGATAAGTAATTGCCATCATGCATGTTGCAGGAAAATGAAGAGGGTGGCAATAATTCAGAAGAATCAGTGATAGGATTCTGGAGTGGGTGTGCTTGGCTGGTTGGGATGGCAGTGAGCATTGCAGTGCTGTCTGAATATGTGGTGCAAACAATTGAGGTAGTTGATTTTTTTTTTGTTTTTGAGAGATGAAAACACTATTTTCCCTCTATTATATAAGTAAGATTCTATTTTGATAACAATGCATACGTTTAACTTTACAAATTTCCAGTTTAAATATTTTGATTATCTTAAATGAATAAGAAATCATCGTAAGTACTATTTTTTAAGTAGTTATCATCATATGACAACCTGTGATTGAATATCATGTATAAAAAATATTTACATCGACTGTCTTGGTGAATGTGAATGTATATTTTTCATTACTGTCTTGGTGTCTGTGTATCATAATATATGATAATATCTACTGATGAAGAAAATGTGAATCTGAACAGGCTGCATCTAATTCATGGGGTTTGTCTGTTAGCTTCCTCAGTGTAATCTTGCTTCCAATAGTTGGCAATGCAGCTGAACATGCTGGAGCAATCATATTTGCTTTCAAAAACAAACTGGTATAAGTTTTATGAAATTCTGATACTTTTATTATATAAATTGCTTGAAACTATGATTGAAATCCTTTATCCGCACTCTTGTGTATTTAACTGAGATACTATTTTTTATTAGGACGTGTGATTTATTTTTCTGAGTCTAACCCAATGACGATACTGCAGGACATCTCCTTGGGTATTTCCTTAGGTTCTGCAACTCAAATTAGCATGTTTGTGGTAAGCATTCACCTTAAAAAGAAACGGGTGTTTCCAACCTTTATAGTTAGATCAATAGAAATTTTCATCAAATAAATGTGATTACAATATAGGTTCCCCTTTGTGCGATTGTTGCTTGGATTCTTGGAATTAAAATGGACCTCAACTTCAACCTCCTAGAGACAGTTTCTCTTGCTTTGGCAATAATAATCACAGCTTTCACATTGCAGGTACACTAATTATGTATCATAATTATATTTGGTAGAATAGAAACATTACACTCTGATTTGATATTATCTTGATTCAATATTTCTTCCATGTATTTCTTTGTAGGATGGAACTTCTCACTACATGAAAGGTCTTGTTCTCTTTCTGTGCTACATTGTGATCGGGGCATGCTTTTTTGTACAGAGAACACCCTCCAGTGAGCATAGTATATAACAGTCTTTGTGTTACAAAAATATTTACAATCTATATATTTATATACTTCCTGAAATTATATTCATATATAATATTTTGTCACTCTTTCTCAGACGAAAGTAATGTTTCTAATATGAAGCTCCAATCAGCAAGTGGAGTTTATATAGCTTAAGAGGTAACTTTATGTTCTGCATACACATGCAGATATAATCTTTTGCGTCCAATCAAGAACTCTGTGAAATAAACTACTGGCATTTGATTGCAGGCATTAGTGGCTAATTTTGGTGTCTGAGATAAAGAGTTGCAGCATCTAAACTTTGAACAAGATTCAATGGATTTGTTATTTGTCATTTGTTCATTTAATTTGTTATCCCATGACAGAAAGCTGAAGAAGTTTGCATGCAGTAACTTGCAATCTATTTTGTTGTCTGTGTATATCGTTCTCTTCGAAGGATTTTGTGTCACGGTTTCCATTGCACAATGTAATATAGATGAGAGTTGTGACATGACTCTCAAATAAATGAGAACTGTTATTTGGAATCTGTGTTCACATAAGCAAGAATCTTCCTTGTCAGAACCCTCTCATTAATATATATACTATAGTAAATTTAATTTTAAATTTAGTCATTTATCATTTTTTTATACTTATTGGTAGGAACGACAATTAAACCCTTATCCACAGGGATCGACTCATCCCCGCCTCGAGTTTGACGGGGAAAATCCGAGTTGACAGGAGGCGGAGGCAGGGATAGTAATGCAATCCCCACCCCGATCCCGACCCCGCCTCGCCCCGACTTTATATTTAAATTTAAATTTTAAAATATTAATATTTTAAAAGTATTTCCTTCTCTTTTTCTATTGCACATAAGGTTATTTTTTTATATTTCATCAATTTTTATTTTTCTTATGCCCACCTTTTAATTTTTTTGTCTTTTTTAATCTTTTATATCAATTAATTTATTACATTATTCTCTTTCTTACCTTTCCGTTCTTCATATTTCTTTAATCTCTCCCATCAATTTGTTTTTTTTTCTTCTTTATCTTTTTCTAAATATTTTAGATAAATTTTAGTGGTAACTAATATTATTTTATTTATAATTTATATTTATTAAGTTTTATTATGTAATATTTTTTATCTTATTATTCTTATGTATCATATATCAAATTTTATCCTAATAAAATAATTTTATTTTAAAGAATTAAAAGAAATTAATAATTTAAACTTTTATTACTTTGAACTAATTAAATAAGAATTAACTTATAAAATATTTCCTTATAAACTATATATTTCATATTTTTAAATGACAACTTAAAAATGAATTAACTTATATATATAATCAAATATTTGAATACAGTATTATAATAATAATAATATTATAAGTATTCAAATATTTGAATAGAGTGTTATAATAATAATAATAATATTATAAATATTTTATATATATATATATATATAAATAAAAAATAATTAAATATTTCTTTTACATACATATTTTAATATAAATATAATAAATTAAAATGTATATTTAATTAATAATAATTATAAATTATATTTATTTATATATAAAAAATACATAGTAAAATTAATTTATTATAAATATAATTATCCTTTTAAAAATAATATAGATCGGGGACGCGCGGGGATAGAGGCAGAGAACCCCGAAACCCAGCAGAACGGAAATGAGAACTTAATTTATAATCCCGACGGAGATGGTTAAAAAAATCAGGACGAGGATCAGGAAGGCAAAACGCGCCGCTCTCAATAAAAAAAAAATTGTACACATTTAGTCAATATCATTCCATTATTTCAATGTTTATGGGATGGTTAATTCTCCGTGCCAATTGATAGTATATATTTTCATCTCTTATTTATAGGTTTATTGTATTTTTAAGTCTTTTTTCTATTGTATTTTTAAGTTCTTTTTCTTTTATAAATTTTTTTATGTAATATGAATTTGTATTTTTTATAATAGATAGGAATTTTTGTAAATATGAACTGTTTTCAGTATATTTTTTTTAGCATTGACGTTTGTTTTTATATTTTTCTATATATGTGCGTTTTTGTTGATTTTTGTAGCGTTGGAATTTATTTCTTTTTTTTTATTGATTTTATGATTCTTCATTTCCTACTTTTTAATTCTAAGTTCCAATTTCAATTTTGATTCGCATTTTCTGTTTTGGTTTCAACTTATAATTTAATTCTGCATTTAAGTTTTAGTCTCCGCTTGCAATTTTAGTTCTGATTTTCCAATTGATATTTCTGTTTTTAATTTCTAATTTAATTCTCTTTTAGATTTTCGATTTCAATTTTAATTTTCGTTTTCAAATTCATTAATTGTGTTTTAAGTTACCGTTTTCAATTCTAAATTCCTATTGCCAATTTTGTTTCCAACTATTCTCAATTTTGTTTGCAATTTCAATTCCGTTGTTTTCTAGTTTCCATCCTTAATTTCCAATTTGTTTTACTATTCTGTTTTCAATTTCAATTTCAATTTCATGTTTGAAAACCCATGAATTTTATTTTTGTGTTGGGAAGAAGATGAAGCAATATATATATATATATATATATATATATATAATATGTGTCTTTGGCAATTAGACCTGGATTAGCCTCTTAACTTGATATTTTTTTGGCCTAAATAATTTTTTAGTTTCTAATTTACTAATTTAGTGTTTTATACATCATAAATGTTCTATACATGTTATCTATATTTTTAGATACATATAATTATTTTATTATTTATTTTTATCTTAGTTTTAGGAAAATAAAATTATATAAATTTTTAGTTAAATTATTGACTAAATTTTATATTTTCTAAAATATTTATACATTGATAAAAAATGATAAATTAAAAAGATTTAACACTTTGATTTGAGTCATGAAAAAAATTTAGCTTGACAAATATGAGACAGATAGCTAGATCTTAAAAGTAGTAATCAGCCAAGTGAAACAACAAAGTATTAAGCGATATTATTGAGATAAATCAAGTTCTAATTTTTATATATTATTGTTTATGGGTACTGAATGGATATAAATACGAAATTACATTTATTATTGTATAAATAAACTTAACAAAAGACATAAATTATTTTTTAGCAATATCCATTTTCATAGTTTTAAAACTTAGATCTAAGCATTTTTCTCTTTATTTAATATCTACTTCTAGTTTAAACTTTTCAATTCCGCTTTACATTTAGTATAATTTCAAATTTAATATTATTTAATTCAATTCAAGTTAATCTAGATAGTTTTCTTTTATTCTTCTTTATTTCAATTCATACAATTTAGAACATTTTTTTATTGTTTTGTTATAGTTTTCTACATACTAAGTCTAATATGAAACTTGCATCATTTAGATATTTTAATAGTTTATATTTAATATAATCAATAGTTTATTTTAATATAATCAATTATAATTAAAATTATTAATTTAAATTTGATTAATTAAATTATAAATCAGTAATAGGTTTACTAGTTGTGTTTTCTAATTCATGCCTCTAAATCAATTAAATGTAGTGAATAAGGCTGACAGAAACAAGTTGTGCTTGTAAATATCTGCAATTAAAATCCATGACGGATACTATGTTAGATGGATATCTGCAAATAATGATACAAATGTTTTAATTATCCGTTACTCGCTAATAATTTTTATTTAATATATTTTTTTAAATAAAATTATTGGTGAACAAAATATTAACTATTAGAATTTATAAATTTTTATTTTTTTATTTTATACTACAACTTATTAAATAAATATTTTTATAAAAATAATTTTATTTATATTAATTATTTATAATTTTATTTTATTTAAATTATATGTTATGATAAGATTTTTTATTAAAATATACTTTATAGAATAATTTTTAAATAGTTTTATTTAAAATACAATAAAAATATTTGTAAGTATCCATGTATACCCGCACATATAAAAGAACTTGCAAATGTTTTTTAAATGGATACCTGACAGGTAGAGGGTGGGCAACGGATACACACTGTGTGGCTGCCTCGTCCCAACCCAATCCCTAATGGGTCAATCAATTAAATTTAACTAACTGTGTTATAAATATTTAAAATTCCTATATATATATATATATATATATATATATAAATCTTATGTTTAGAAATTAATTATAATAATAAAGATTAAGAAATTAATCACTGTTCGGATATATATTTACATTATTACTATTTTTTATTGAATAATAAACACAATTCTGAAAAAATCCCAAATTTAACTCTTTGACGATAAAATATTAGATTAAGGTACGTATTTAATAATATGATCTAGATTTATTTCTAGTAATTTTTCTTTATCACACTAAGAATGATTTGATATGTTTAAGAGATAAAAGTGCTTTAATAAAAATAAAGAATTATTTGATCTATTTAAGAGATAAAGGTGCTTTAATAAAAATAAAGTCTTCCATGAATCATTATTGTCATTTTTTATATATTTGGTTTTAATAGTTAAGTTTCATTATCTTATTTTTATAAAGGGTCAAATTGTTATTTTTTTTGTATTCTCAGACTTTTCTGTGTAAGGTGAGTTTGTGGTAGTGATTTGATGGGTGTAGTATGCGTTGGGGTAGAAAATGGCCAAAGTAGAGACGGTGAGAATTAATTCTTGATGAAAAAAAATTGATTCTCAATTTATAAATAATCGGTTAACTTCATCATTTGAATTTTTTGGTATGTTGTGTACCTAGGGCTGTTGCATGCATTCTGCTAAGTCTGGTGGTAGGGAATGTATTGTTACTATATATTACTCCTCAAATGAGTTATTCTTTGCAAAAGTTAGTAGACCCCAACTGTTTTTTCAGCAAGAGGTGATTATATACCTCAAGAAAAAATTTTAATTTTGACCGTTTCTCTGCACATTAATACATCTCTTCTGCTGTCTCTTCTAATTTAATTTGTGGAAGGGCCAACATTATTTGATCAGAAACATATCAGAAACATAGTTGTAAATAGAGAGCATTGGCAATCAAAATAAATTTGCCCACATACAAGAACTTACTAACCCAACTATACCACCTGTGAGATGGTCTCCTAAAAGTTGAAACACATGGCCCATAAACTCCCTTTTATTTTATTTGGGACACCACAGTGGAACATTTTGTTCTGTTGCACAAAATGGGTGGTTGGTGTTAAAGTTCCTGAACACCTATGAGATTCAGTAATGTAATGTGCAAATTAATTTTTAATAATTATATTTTATTTTATTATAAATTTATATATTTAATTTTTTATATTTTAAATAATATATCATCTCTAATTTTAACATTATTTACATTAATTATATTTTATTATAAAATCTTTATTTAAAACAAAGATAAAATTATACAATTAAATTTTAATTTTTTAATTTATCAAATTAATTAATTATTCACAAACTTTTTTTAAACTTTAATCTCATTTTTCCTCATTTCTAACCAACTTTCCCGTAATTCAAACAATTCCAACTTCACTCATCTTTCCCTTCAAATCCCCTCATTTTCATTCTCTCCCTCAAATCTATCTTCAAATCTAAACACACTAAGAGATCAAGTGATTTATTCCAGTTTTTCACGGTATACATATTAATTTAACCGTTAATGATGAATTATGTATTGAAATAATTAGATTAAGAAAAAATATATATAGAAAATATAAGGAGAAGTAATTTGATATCTTCTCTCTATTTGTGTCTATAACTATTTATATTTATGTATAAATTAATAATAAATATATTTTTCAATTAAATATTTATTTACCTTTTGTAATTATAGGTGCCAAAACAAACTTATTTTGGTTTATCAATTCGTAAGGTCTCATAAATAATATTGTTAGTTGAAATAAGTTGGTAAGATTTTTATAAAGACCACAACTTTATTTTTTAGCTACACAGTTTTTCATATTTTTATTCTCTAGGTATACATTATTATTCTCCTCATATTAATAATATCTTAAGCATCAAAGTGTTATCACAAATGAACATTCATCTTCTCAATTTTTTTTTAATTATGGCATCTCTAATATAAATAACTCATGTTAGTTATTTATTATCTTGAAAAATGTAAACCAGACATACATTATAATGGTACATCGTTTATAAGCAACTCTTTATTAATTTTACTTTATTAGAAATTTTATTAAAAATTTTAAAAAATTCATTCTTTCTTTTTATTTTTATTTGTTTATTTTTTTAAGTTATTTGGTGAAGTAACTATAAAAAAAATTAAGTACTTATTATATCATGTAAGTTCTTTCAATGAGAATATTTAAGCAATTCCGATTAGAGATGCTCTCAATGTTTTGAAAGTAGTAGTTGTTTAGTTTTATCTTACTAAACACTCATTTTTAGTCATAGTTTTTATGAATATGAAGAAAAAGAATTAATAACTACAAAAAATCGAGAATAAATATTAAGATAAGATGGAAACTTAAAAAAAAAATCAATAAGAGTTACAAAAATAACTATGCATTTTGACGAGGAAACTCTTACCTCCTTGGCAAACTTCTTCCATCCAAGAAAGAGACTCTCACACATCTCCCCATCAATAAGTGACATGATTAAACGAATTAAGAAATAATAATCAATTCTTGTGCCCAAGTTCTCAACATGCAACTTAATGAGAAGAAACTCATACTCATTGAATCACAAGTATGAAATTGACACCACCTCTAAACACACAAAGTCATCTTAAGCAAAAACATGACAATCCATTCACACCTATGAATAAGGAGAAAATACTATCTTCACATTAGAAAACTTTAACCATAAAATAATATATTAGAGCCACTTATATAGATAATCATGTTCGAACATATTTGAAGCAAGTCATTATCTTTGGTGACAATGACGTTTTCTTTTACAAAATTTTCCAATAAATATTGAAGGGAGTGACCCTCAAATGGGAATACGACCTACCTTAGGCTCAAGTCGACCATATAAGCCAACCTTAATCACATTTCAAAACCTAAGACAAGAAAAAATAAATCTTTGAGAATGTTCATTGAACAATTTGTCAAGGTAAGTCACACTGTCCAAAATTTTTCTTTTGACATAGCAATACATGTTATGGTTACAAGGTTCTTTCTAGATAATCTATACATAGATTATCTTAATAGTATGGATGAGCTCAAAATCCAAGCCCTCAAAGTTCATTGAGTGCCGAAAGAGAAAAAAACTAGGAGTGAGATGGCATGATCAACTAATATAATTCAGACAAGAGGTCGATGACGGAAGAGATAAGTATACTTAATTCAACTCTAGCATGGAGATAATGTTCATAGAAAAACACAATATGGAGTTGGTCAAGCTTCTAGAGCCCTAAGGCACACCCAGTAATGCAGATGGAAACAAAAAATGTGCATGGCATTGAAACTATTGGTACCTTATATTCTTATTGAAGTAAACACCTCGTATAACATCCTCATTGAGCGAAGAATTTTGACTAAACATGGAGTCATTGTGTTCACACCACATATGACCATAAGAGTTGGTATTATTGCCACCATAAAAGTGGTTTCGAAGGAGGCCTAGGATTGTTATTCTTAAGATCAAAGGTACAACTATACATACAAGACACCTTGAGAAGGGAAAATTTTGCTCCTTCATTTTTAGTAAAAATTGTGCACCATCAGTTGAACATAGAGTTTGAAAAGGATATGGTAGATGTTGATCTACAATAAGAATGCAATGGTAGTCGTCCAAACTTTGACGAATATATTTCTTATTTTTAACTCGCTGATAATCATGAGCAGGTAACACACGTAGGTTGAGTAGTAGACAATCCATTCAGAAGCAATTGGAGGAAGTACTTAACAAGAATGTAAATCTTTTTGCATAAAACACAACTAGTATGTCAGGTATAGATCTAAACTTTAGTTTCCATAAACTTGTTATCTTACTTGAAATTAAACCCATAACATAAAAAGAACGTAAATTAGAAAAAGAAATGTTTAAGGCCATTGAACAAGAGGTTGTAAAACTTTTAAAAGTTTATTCTATTTGAGAAATAACTTATACAACTTGGTTGATTAGTGCAATATTAGTTAAATAAACTAATGAAAAATGGTGTATTTGAACAAATTACACAAATTCAAATAGTGTTTATCCATTGTCTAGCATATTTTGGATAATTGATAATACATATTGGTATAAAGTCTTATTGAGTTATAATGAAATTTCATTAAAATGTACCCCCCAATGAGAAAAAAAATGAACTTTTATTATTCAAGGAGCTAGTTTTTTCTAAAATTATGTTTCTTGGTTTAAAAAATACAGGGTTCACGTACCAAAGACTTAAATTTTGAAAGGTAGAGCAGGAGAGTAATCATGAAAACATACATGAATGATATGATAATAAAATTAGACAAGAAAATAAGACATCTTAAGCATCTCCAACGAGTGTTATCGAAAATCTAAAAGTCTAATATGAGGTTAAGGGGAAAATTATTTTTTATGATAATCCAAAAATATATCGAAGTCAATCTTTATAAATATGAAAAAATCTTTATAATACATATAAAAAAATTAAAAATTTTAACATTTAAATAAAAAACTTATTTTTCTATTAACTTTAAATATTATTTTTTATATAAATTAAAACAATTTTATCCCAAATTATAATAATGACATTACCTTGTGTTTTATATTGATTTTGATTAAACAAATATTTAAGATTATTGTAGAAGATTAAGCAATAAAAAATACTTTTTACTGGAATGGATGAATAATGGATTAGGATAAACTCAAAATTATTAAAATTAATTTTAAAAATAAATAAGAACATAGGTGAAAATATTATAGCAAATGAAAAAAAAAATCAAAGTTAGGTAATAAATTAAAGCTATGAAGAGAATGAAATGATTCATCAATTTTGTTAGAAGTTGTTTACGTACGTGCAAGTGATTAGATTTAACTTTATTATCAAAAAGGAAACTATTATATGACTATATACTTCTTCAATCCTGAATTCATTGTAGTTTCATATATTTTAATTTTCAATTAATTAATATTCTATTTTCTATGATATATTAATTATTTCTTTTCTAATTTATTTTATTTAAAAGGTAAAATACGGTATTTTAATCTTTTACGAATTTTGTATTAATTTCCAAATTAACTTTCTTGATTTTTCAGTTTTTTAATATCTACAAAATTGTATTTAAACCTTAAATATTTATTTATACATTTATCTCTCTTATTATAATTACTATTTAACTTATCCGAAATTTTTTTATATTTATCCTTAGTCTTTAAATCTTTATATAACTATATATATATATATATATATATATATATATATATATATATATATATATATATATAACATCGAATTGATTATTATATATCAATACAGATATCAAATAAAATTTTTAAAAGAATTAGTAACAAAAGTCCATACAAATTTATTAGACCAATGCCTAAAACTTTCAGGAGAAAAGAATCATATTTTAACTTCAAAAAAATTACATTGAAATGTATATTTATCATAGGCAAATATAATATATTCATTGATAAATAATAATAATAAAATTATTTATTAAGTAAATATTTATTTATTTATTTTTATTTATTATTATTATTATTATTATACAAAACATCTTTAAACTATAATAATTAAGAACGTAAAGGGGAATAGTAAGAATATATTGATTAATCATCTTTAATAGACTCTCATTTAACAATGACATTTTATATTTAAAAGTAAAAAAATAGTAATAAATTTCGTAAAATATAATAACGGAGTAGCAAATTTTTAATTTACAAGAACTCTATTTTACAAAATTAGACTGGTATGCTAAATGTCTTAAAAAAAAAATAATAATAAACCAAAATGGAAATCAATAGAAAAAATATGTTTCCTTCTATCTTTCTTCATTTGGTTCATACTAAATTGTCTCCAATCTCTCTCTTTCTGCCCCGAACTAACTTATCCTTCTTCTCTGGTAACCCGACACTTCACAACGTCATGTTTCAAAATCCTGACATGACAGCAACCGAGGAGAGAGCTACGCTGACGTGGCGGAAAATCCCCATCCTCAAATCCTCCCCCAGCGACGTCGTTCCTCCGCTCCGAAACGACGTCGTCCTCCGCTTCGTACCCGGAAGTGGCACACGCTATAAATTCGCAAGCGTGTCGGTGGCAGAAAGGAAATTCAACAGAGAATTTGCGCCGACGGCCGCTCAGCTTCTGAAGCACCCGGTCGCGCTGGTCGCATTGGTGCCTAAAGACGCCGCCCTGTTCCTCGCCGGCGCCATTGCCGGCGCTACCGCGAAATCCGTCACCGCCCCCCTCGACCGCATCAAGCTCCTCATGCAGGTGCGCATTCGTTTCGTTTTTTATTTGTCGCCATTTTGCGCGGATAAAGTTAGTGTCCAAAAGTTCTGTCAAAACGACATGGCGTATTTTGCAGACTCACGGCGTGCGAGTTGGACAAGAAAGTGCCAAGAAAGCGATTGGTTTGATTGAGGTATCCAGTAATCGCAACTTCTTTTGCAGTGTTTGGTTCTATTTTCTACACATACGTGTGTGTGTGTGTGTGTATATATATATATATATACTATGTCACTATTGTTCAATTTTGTGACGCGCATGAATTTGATATAGTTTAAAATTATGTTTTGGTTCACCATGAATCATTGTTTTAATTTTATAATAGTGCTTCTCTTGTTAATGAGTTTTGGTGTCATGTCTCCTTTGGAGAATGGGCCCATGTCTCCTTTGGGATTTTTATTTATTAATAAAAACACAACCATTAAAAGTTTTTCTAATACAAATTTGAAAACGCAAAGTAAAGTGAAAAACGATAATATAGTATCATCTTTATATTTATTTTTGTTTCTTACCGTCTTTAAAGATTTGTATAGGACATTGTACTGAGAACAAAATGTGCAGTAGCTGGCCTCTTCTTTGGCCGCCAGTGATAAAATATTGTATGTGTTGTTATCAACTTGTGGAAGTCCATTATTGAAAAGTGGGACGGTGTGATTTTGTTATTGTTGTGTTTGTAAAATGCTTAATGAAATCTATCTGTTTCATTTTAGTTAACGGATGATAATTTGTATGTTCTGTTTAGGTTGTTTCCTCTTAAAGTGTAGCTTGATGATTGTAGTTGTTGGAATATGATAGGATTCTTATAGTTTTACAAATCTTACTGAATAGGCTTGTGCTTGAGATGCTACAACACTGTTTGACCTCAATTAAATATGAGGATTTGTAATGAATGATATCAGATTTCAAATTATTCAGTGTTTTCTCTCCTTTTCCATCGAAACTCTACAATTTCAATTGTAGCTGTTTAATTAGAAAGGAAATGGTCAAATTGTGTCTGTGTGATGACTTCCAACTAATTGATAAGGACTTCTTATGTTTCTAATCATTACCTTCCGATGTTGTCTCAGTTGCTAATCTTTGCATAGCTGGTCCCAAGCTTGGATATAAGGCATGGGTTGTGGTTGACAGTGATTCTATAGCTTTGTTGAATCCCTATGATTACATTCTCTGACTAAGGATTATACATATCACGTACTAAATGCTTGTCTTAGCAGTCTTTCCCAATTTCTTTGCTTCATAATCATGTAGTCCATATTAGATGCATCACGCGCTCTCATGAATGATTTGAATAATACCAGTGAAATTTTGTTGGGGCTTACATTGTCATAATTTACAGGCAATAACTGTAATAGGGAAGGAAGAAGGCGTAAAAGGTTATTGGAAGGGCAACCTCCCCCAGGTCTCTAACGAATTTATTGGTAATTGGTATTTCTGTAAGTATCTCTCTGTATTATGTTGACTAGTGTTTTCATTTGTTTTAGTGTCTCTACTTTGAATGTTCCAGGTGATTAGGGTTATACCTTACAGTGCTGTCCAGCTATTTGCTTATGAAATTTACAAGGTCGACTGTTATTTATCTTTCATGAATTTCTTGTAACCAATATTTCATGTTCATATCTAAGTTATTATACCTTTGGATTTACAGAAAATATTCAAGGGAAAGGATGGTGAGCTCTCTGTTGTGGGAAGACTTGCAGCAGGCGCTTTTGCTGGCATGACATCAACTTTTGTCAGTAATTCTATGAACCCAACCTTGTATGATTTGCAGCTGCTTTCGTGATGTTATTGTGTTTCGTTCCAAGGGATTAAACCTTGTGTTTAAACACTTATGAGCAGCTCTGATTTTTTACATTTTTCTCATATCTTAATATCACTTGTGTATCTAAATTGATATATGTTTATATGTAGATAACTTACCCATTAGATGTCCTAAGATTACGATTAGCTGTTGAACCTGGTTATCGAACAATGTCAGAGGTATATAAACTTGCCTGATTAAGCATTTTCACAAGATCTTCTTCCTCTGTAAATGAAGCTTGTTGTGGCTTTTATAGGTGGCCTTGAGCATGCTAAAAGAGGAAGGATTTGCATCTTTTTACTATGGCCTTGGGCCTTCTCTCATCGGCATAGCTCCATATATTGCAGTGAACTTCTGTGTTTTTGATTTGTGAGTTCATTGATAATCTTTTGTCTTTTAAGAACCTTGGATATTGGAAAGACATTGAATTGCGATATTCTTACCTGTTGACAATAGATTAAAGAAGTCGTTGCCAGAGAAATATCAGAAGAGAACTGAAACATCTCTACTCACTGCTGTACTTTCAGCATCTCTTGCCACGCTTACATGTTATCCTCTGGACACTGTGCGAAGACAAATGCAATTGAAGGGTACACCTTATAAGACAGTATTGGATGCCATTTCAGGTTAGGACTTTTAGGATTTACCTTTCAGCATCCGCATGTTTTAGTCCCCCACGTGCTTATATTTGTGCACACATAACCAGTAATAACGATATTTATTCGTTCCATAAGATTTCTGTAGTGCTATCATTTACCTTGTGCATGAATTCATTCTACCAACATATAAGAATAAGGAATGTTGACTAATGAAGTTGTTATAAGATAACAAGGGCATGTTCACTATCACTTGAAAAAGTTAATTTTTTGGTTTGGATGACTGGTTAATGGTGTGAGAGAAAAGAAAGATAGGAAAAGCAAATATAATACTCCAAACGTGGTTCAAATGATGGGGATTTTTGAAGTTTTAAAGCTTTAGTAATTTTATACTATTACCAAATTAATTATTTCATTGATGCAGGTATTGTGGCACGCGATGGTGTTATTGGCTTGTATCGTGGATTTGTGCCCAATGCTTTGAAAAACCTACCAAATAGCAGGTACTTGTCGAAACCATCGTCCAATTTCTTCTCAAGCATAGTTTTAGTTGAGAATGCCTCTGCCACCATGCCATTAAGCATACACAAGTATGATAAAAAGAGTTAATCATGGTGATGTATTTTAATTTGAAGTCTGTTACGATTAGTTACCTGATCCAATCCATGTATATATCTACAGCATCAGGCTTACTGCATACGACTTTGTGAAACGCCTAATTGCAGTCAGTGAGAAAGAGTTTCAAACAATTACAGAGGAAAACCGCAAGAATCAAAAGAAACCACAATAGTCAATGACAGTGATTCATATCGTTGTAGTCATTCTTTTCCTGCTGAAATTTGCAGGACCAATGAATGCATCAGCAATTAGCAATTGCGGGAACTGTTCTTTCATAGCCAACATTTTTATGAGTGGATACCAGCATCCATTATATATTCTGCAGAACACAATGCTTTACTTTTTCTCTGCTGAAATTGAACTTTTTCTTAATTTAGGGATAAAATCAGATTTTATTAAAACTATTTTTTAAATTCTGCTTTATAATATAAAAAAAAAAGTAAAAATTTTTGGACTTGTGACAAATTAAATTCAACGTATATATTTGTATTAACCCTTCAAGAAAAGAAATTATGGTTTCACATCTTTGTAAAAAAAGTTATTTTCTGACAGTGACCAGAATCAAACATGAAAAAGAAATCACAGCTTATATTAATGAAAAAGAATGATTAATTAAAATTAATTTTCACCTACAGCGAGACCCACAGCCCCTTCACCAAAATAAAAAATGCACATTTTACACATTTTCTCACACATGATTAATTATAAATTCTTTTATGATTAATTAATTATCAATTCTTTTAAGCTTAATTAATTATCAATTTGGTCGACACAATTCATGCTTGCTCAGAGTGATCATATTATATAATTTACTATTCTCACAATCGTTCTTATTCAGAGTTATTTGTTAAATATAATAATTAAAAGTGAACTGTCGGTGGAGGTAATAATTATTTAGAACGATAAGATTTATCATTTTATCTGGGTCCAGCTAATAAGAAATTATTAAATAGAATTATTTTGTTGAATGTTTTATTTTGATTAACAATTTTGTTTCCTTAATTTCTCGTACGGAATCTTTAGTCTTCGTATTTGTTTTTCACGGTTTTAATTTTAATATTTTTAAAAAGCTTTGATACATTTCAATCTTTTTAATCCTTATAATGTACATGGATTTTAATTTTAACTTTCATAATTTTTTTCATCATTTTAAAATTTAAATCCCTAATTTTTATCTCTAACATGCCCTTTAAAATATTAATTCCAAAAATATCACTTGTTTTTTCTTTCACACATAAGCATCAAAGAGTCACGTTATATTAAAAATAAAAAATAAATATTTATAATTTTTCAAAAATTTAAAATAATTACAAATAATTAATTAAAGTCAGTCTTCATAATTTTGATAATAATAATAATAATAATAACTAAGTTTAAGGAAAATAAATATAGAAATTACACTTGAATTATTTAAGTTGTTAATAATGTATCAATTAATCATCATGAGTTAGTTAATATATTGACTAACAAATCAATGCATAAGTAGACCAATTAATCATAGTCATATAATGAATTCAAACTCAACTAAATATGTCATCAACTTGTATGATGAAGTTGAACTGGAGTGAACCCATGCTACATTTCATTACACTTGACTATTAAAGCTTAAGTGGACTCAGTTATATATGAATGCAATCAACCAATTATGATTATTGTATCTCACTAATGCTAATAGAAGCTTAATTTATATAAATGTACCATCTGATACACTTAGTAGACTACATTGTAATAATCATATTCAACCAATGTTTATTCACTCCACTAAACTTGTGAATCAACTAGGTCAACTCCATAGGTTTACTTGAAACTATTATACAATATTTACAATCAACAAAAACATAATCTCTAAGAAACATTTATACATTATGCTAATTAGAATCAACTCTAAGTTCACGTATTAAAATGATTATTTGTGTATATAAATAAAGATGCAATCATGCAGAAAGAAGAATAACACGAAAAGAAAGATAATTTATGTGACAAAACCTTATTAAAATCTTTTAGGAAAACATAGTCTTCATTTTAGAGATTAAAGAAAAGTTTTTAATTTGTAAATTGTTCAACTTATGAAGTTTATTATCTTGTGTACAAGAAAATGTTATATTATCTTTGTCAGAGTTGACTACTTATAATCTCTCCCAAACTTCAGTTTGAAATACTTAGAGATATTTTGTGTACTTGAAGAGTTAGAAATAACTTAATAACAAAAAAACTTGTCTTGTTAAGTATGACCTTGTGAACTAGTGTATTATAAACAGTGACGGATCTTAACCATTGATCTTGGGGGCCAAATAATATATTATTAATAAATAATAAATAAATATAAAAAGAAAAAAGAAGATGAAAATGTGAAAAGATAAAATTGTAGATATATTCTTAAATATATTAAATGATCATTAAGTTTGAGGGGAACAAAATCATAAATTATATATGAGAGTTACAAAATTGAGGAGGAGTTGAGAGGATAAAATTGTAAATATACACGTAAATATATTAAATGTTCATTAAGTTTGGGGGGTCAAAATCATAAATTATATGATAATTATAAAATTTTGGACGGGTGATGACCCGCTCAGCTCCCAAGAAGATCCGCACTATAAGTTTTCTTGTGAATCTTATGTATATGAAAATGGCTTATGTACTTATTTTTTAACTCAATGTTAGTTAAAGGGTTGTCAAGATTAGTATTGTGTATAAATAATACTTTGTTGTAATAAGTTTATTAAAGGAAAATTCTTTAATAATTTGCTAGGAGAGAACTAAATATAACTCAAATTAAGTGAATCAATTTGAAAATCGAGTATTTTTATACTCTCTTACTAATATACTTAATTTACATTTTGAATAATTATTTTGAAATAACGTTTGTTATTTCTGACATATTTTAGAAAAGATTTTATTAGTATTATAGACGACCCATTTTATTGTCTAGTTAAATTTATTATCACATGACACATTTTTGTCAATGAATCAATTTATGATTAGATGAGACGACACATTGGAATTATTTTATTATAATTCACTTTGATTCTTTTTAACTCTATTCAAACACACACACCCTTCCCACTGTATATAGTAATTTGTAATTTTATTTTTATTTGCTCACTTAATTTACATTTTGAATACTTGTTTTGAAAGAATGTTTTATTATTTGGGAAATATTTTAAAAAACCTTTATTATAAATGACACATTTGGTTTGTTTATTCAAACTTGTGATTAAATGATATTAGGATAATTTTCTATTGCAAAATAGTTGTTAAGTCTGCTCAAACTCTCTCACTCCCCTCTATACTTAACCTATAATTTAAAAAATGGTAGAAACATTAATTTATTCCTTTAAAGTGTATGGAAGTTTCTATTTAATCCAGGAACTTAAATAAATTAAAATAATAAAATATTTGAAATAACTTTGATTTCTAACAATATTTTTTTCAATAAATGTTTACATATTATTGATAAGTGTAATTTAGTCCATCAATATTATAATAAAATATAATTTAATTTATATATTTAAGGATTAAATTTAATTTTTTCAGTATTATAATGACATTTTTATTAGAAAGAATAGGATATAATAATTTGTTTTTATCAAATATAATGTTTTAAAACATAAATGAATGTGTGAGTAATGTAAAAAAATGGTGATATAATGGTTTTTAAAATATATATATATATATATATATATATATATATATATATATATATATATATATATATTTGTTTATTTTGTTGGAAATATATCCTTCTTAATTAAGGCATGTAATTCCTAGGCATGAAAACTAATAAACCGTTTTTTTCAATGTCATTGGAATTATTCTTTTGATTCTTGGAGACATGTCCATTCATCTTTTAAGTAGGAAAAAATACTTAATACCCATTACGCAAAAGTCTCAATCCTTCGTTATAAAATAGGGATCTTGAGAAAGTGGGAGACATATTACATAAGTTGAATAATCCAACTAATAAGTTGAAAAGTAATAATGAGTTGATGATCATTTAAAAGAGAAAAGAAAGTTTCCATATTTTCCAATTAGATTGTTGTAAGTCATCCTAAGGGTGACTTAGTGTGTTATCTTCTTGAAAAGAGAAATTCTTTTATAATCCTACTTTTATAATGGAGTTTTTACATTAAGTTAGTTTGTTGATTTTTTCTTCTCACATAGAGAAGGTTTCAACATTAAAATATTATGTTATTCTCTTTTCTTCTTCTCTTTTTTATTAGCCTATCTTAAATACATAGGGAATAAAATTAGTCTGTTTATCATAATTTGTTCTATCTCTCAAACCCTCTCTCTCTCTTTATATATATATATATATATATATATATATATATATATATATATATATATATATATATAACTTATTTTAAAATAAATAAAATCTCTATATAATTTTAAAGAATATAAAAAAATAATTAATTGAGAATGCGATATATTTTATTCTGAATATAAAAGGCTATAATAAAGGGAAAAGACATTATCCCAACATCACTACTACAGAATTCACTTTCTACGACACCATCCAACGTCGGTTATCACGAAGACCGACGTTGTACAAGACGCGGTGGCAAACTTGTAATTATGAAACAAAATTTAACGTCGGTTATATCATAAACGACGTAGTAACTGGAATTCAACGTCGGTTATATGACAGACGACGTTAAATGTTTAAATTTAACGTCAGTTATGTATAACCGACGTTGAATTCCCAAAATCAACGTCGGTTACATGATTTACCCGACGTTGAAAGCGTTATCCACGTCGGGTTTTTTAATAACCGACGTTGAATGTCCTATCCAAGGCGCGCGGTTATTCAACTTCTTCTTCGTCCCACATATTCCCTCCTTCTGCTTCTTCTTCGCTGTGCCTCAGTCCTCACTGCTGCCCCCTCGCCGCCCCTTCGCCGCCCAGTTCGCCGCCCCCTCGCTCTGCCCCCTCGCCGCTGCTACCTCCTTCGCCGCCCACTCGCCGCGCTCTCATCAGGTTAGATTAAGTTGTATGGATGATTTACAGCATGCATTTAACATAAATATGGATTATTTAGAGCATTTCCTGCGTATGAACATTAGAAAGATGATGGATGATTTTGTATATATGGTTTGATTTGATCTAGGTTCGTTTAGGTTTCGAAGTGGTATATGGAACATTAGGTTTCGTTTAGGTTTAGGTTTA